CAAGCCGACGAAGATTGTTGGTGGGCCAGCTGGTTCCAAGAGTGGTGGTGGTTCTCAAAAGAAGCCTTATGATAAGCCCCAAATCACAACAAGGGGGTTCTGTCACAAGGAAACCTATTGACACAACTAGGAGTAGGTGTCAGAGTGGAGTTGCTAATCTCAGATATTATAGATGTGGTGGACCTCACTTTATTCGTGAATGCCCTCATACCGAGAGCAAGTGCTTTAGGTGTGGCCAGATGGGTCACATGTCGACTAGTTGTCTTGCAGGTGCCAGACAGACTAGGAGTGCCCCGAGGGGTGATAAATCTACTGCAGCTGGGAGGGTGTTTGCCTTGACCGAAGCCGAAGCTTCCACTTCATCTGATCTAGTGAAAGGGAAGGATATATATATATATATATATATATATATATATATATTTTCCTATTTCAAATTTAAGTATTATATTCTTAATAACTTAAGTAAGAATGTAAGATCTTACGATTCAAGTTATAATTCTCAAGTTAGGATGTTTCGCTCTTTTCGATCCCAAGTAAAATCTTGATTTTAATAACATTGAACCCATTATAAAAAATGATTCAACCAACTAACTTTTAGCATTTTGGAGAACAAGAGTTGATCTTTTTTTTTTTAAATTTATTTACATAAAATGAAACAGAATAAAAACACCACTTACAAAGATTATTTGTGGAGAAAAATGAATAGTATAAGTAAACCACTGGGAAGCCACCAAAAAGTAAATACATGAAAAACACTAGAAAATATTCTAATAAGTTGAATTGTATTTTTAGTGCATTTACGGTAAGGATACATCCAAGACAAAAATCGAGATTGCATTTGTCAAAATTTCACAAAATAAAACAGCCAAAAAATAATAACAAATTTCATACATAGGAGTACAAGATTGCTGACACTCAAAACTGCACCCTTGTGAATCTCTATGGGGGCATGTCTCTTAAACATTTTGTCCCAAGTATAACTCGATGGAAAATCCTGCAACAGAAAACTAACACATCAAGACTTGAAAAGACATGCAAATCCAAAAGATGCTGCAGAACAAAATTGATAAAACATCAAAGCCAAAAGACAGCAAATACCGAAAGCCAGACCATAAAGACAGATGACCACCAATTACAATATATCAAATTCAAAAATGACTAGGAAAAAATATTCTGCTTCCAAAGGCTATTCAATTTGACTCATCAACCTTCTTTATAGGGGTGACCAAAATAAACTGAACAGAACTTATAAAAACTATATTGACCTTAAAAGTAGTTCTCATGAACTGAACTAAATTGAATATTAGTTCAGACGAACTGAAATGAACTATTCTTTTGTGTCATTGAACTGAATTGAACTATACTATAAAAATTTGAACTGAACTGCAATTTAAACTGCACTGAACTGTTATGATATTTTGAATTGAACAATTTTGACTCATTGATCTATCAAAATAGGACACATTTGCCAACTTTATTTTATTTTCCATTTTATTTAAATTTTTCAAAGGAAAAAGATATAAAATTAAGTCAAACAGTGAATTTTAAGCCTAAAAATAAGTAGTTCAACATAACTCAATTGATCCGTTAGGTTCGACAAAATTGATATAATTTTTTCGGATCATTTTTTTTCCGAAAGTTTTGGTCATTAGACTATCGAATTAATCTACTAAGACATAACATATTAAACACATTTAATTTTTATCCTTTTATAAAAATAGTTCAATTTCTATAATTTAGTTCAGTTTTATAGTTCAGTACAGTTCAACTTTCCAACAGTTCAGTTCAGTTTAGTTTTTTTTAACAGTTCAGTTCAGTTTTTTATAGTACAGTTCGGTTCAGTTCACCACCAGTTCATTTCAGTTTTTTTTGTCCATCTCTACTCCTTTCTCCATCCTATTTTATAAGCAGTTCAGAGTTCACAGCTGATTGGGATAACAAATTAATCTGACCAACCATCTTATATATTTTGTTATGACTAAACAACCAATTGTGCCCAGCATTCATGATGCAAGGATGGAGGTTTACAAGGTACATTCTATTTAGGTACCTTGTATTACTGACTGTAGTTATCAATCATTGATCGCAGTGAGCGACCAATCCCATTCCATAACTGTTACAGTGGGATAGCAGATATCCGATAACTGTTGCACCTTAGTTCTCTGGGTCAGATACTAGGAAGGTTTGAACAGAGAGGCCCATCAGAACAGGGCCTGATTTAGCTTGTCAAAACGGTTTCATACTATATCAAACATTAAAGGGAGAAATTATAAAATTATCCTTCAAACGGGTTGGACCCAATTTCATTATTGTGACTGCTACTGACTAAAAAAAAAAAATCCACAATGCATAACCTGCAGTGGCCCATGGTCACTACACCTTGCTGTAGCACTGTTGCAAATTATTGATAACACTGCTACCAACCAGTGAGTTGGGCATTTAGATTCACCCAACAGTCAATCACTGTCAACTTTACAAGGTAGCAGAATTCTCCATAAAAAAATGAATTTGTACCAGGAAACCTAGAAAAGGATTGGTATTTAAAAAAGCAAAATCTAAAGGCAAGATCAGAACCATACCACAATAAATTAATCCTCCTCCATTGGTACATCTGGAATGTCAAATCTATCCTCTTCAATAGTCTTGTTTATCACATATACTGGACTAGGTACTGGGTTGTCAAGGAAAGAATATGGGATACATTTATCACAAGCATAACACGGCTGATTCCAAGTTAAAATTACACACTTACTATATTTAAAACATATTTCACCCTGAATTTCTTACCCTTAACTTGGTCTTTATTCATAGAAATTTAAATATAAAATAAAGGAGAAATTATATATTGTCATTTAGGTATCTTGAGCCTTCATACCAATTACTGCAGTATCAAACATATTTCACCCTGAATTTCTTCTGAATGATGTCCAAAATGTTACCAGCACGGAATTGTTGACACAAAATCAAGACATCTTTTAAATTCAACAGGGAACCTGGGTTTCTTATTGCAAAATTGCATGTTTAGCTTGCTGTCTGAGAAACATTTCAAAAGATTCTTCTATTATTATTTGTATTATCTGAATTTTTAATTTCTTGCAATCTCAATAAACAGAAGCTTATATGCAACTCAGACTTTGTCCACAAGTCCCCCAAGATCCTTCAACACAAGGTAGACTATAGATGCCATGTCATATTCATAAACCTTAGGAAAGAAAAGTATGGTAAAGAAAGGGAGCAATGGAAAGGATATTTATTGACATAAGATCTTCCTCCTTTTCACCCCGGTTGCGACTGTGGTCTAGCTCTCTGCTAATTTCAGGTGTAACCTGCAGTAGGAAAAAAAAATATCAGTCGGCCAGAAATTTGAAACAGAAGAAAAGCAAACCATCAGATGAAGTGCTCACTAATTTATGCTTTTGCTTTTCCAGTAGATCCCTTAATTTATCCTTATCTTCCTTCTGCAGCTCATTTTTGTACCTGAAATATCACAAAAACAGCTTCAAATTAAAAAGCTGACAGAAATATTAATCATTGACATATCTTATGCAATGCTTGTTATAAATATATATTAATATATAAAGGAGATACCACTTTCAATAATTACTTTTGATTTCCGTTTTTACATGGACCATTTTATCCTTTGTTTATTTTCCATAACTAGAGACTACCTTTTCCTATGAGTAACTACTCATTCTTTTCTTTTTTTTCTATTTTATTCTGAAACTACTATAACAGCTTATAAAAATAATTATTTTTTTCTTTTAATACAATGCAGGCACAGAGTGCCTTTTTCCTGCTAGTAATTCATTACATACATTCATTGATGATCATAGGAAATACACATTTTCTTTGCTCTAAACAAGAGGTGTTTGATAAAGCCTAGGGAGAACCACACTACAAAAGCTAAATGGTGTAGTTGGAGAGCCCAAGGCCTTATGAACCCACACTAGAATCCCATACATAAAATGTGGGGCTCAAGTCACACCTTTCAATTGGATCATAACATCCCACTCTGTTCTACAGCCATGGCGGCCATGCAGGCTGGTCGTGCACTAGCCCTTTCACTAGTACCAAGCACGCGCTGGCACTGCAATGTCGACAACACCACCCAAACCGGTCCTTTGCAGCTAAGACATGGCGGAAGACTCTGATACTGATTGATAGGTATCAGTAAATGAAGTAAAAACAGAGATGATACTTGTATTAATATTGGAAGATACAGGATTGAATCTCAGTGTCATATTGGATCCTGGAATCCAAATCACAGTGAGATAAATTCAGAAAAGGGTGGCCTTTTTAGGAGTGGTTAATTCATCAGGGAAACAAGCTTCTAGAAGTGACTACAAAAGGATATATGAAGGTAATCAACGAAATGGTTCCTGATAGGCACCTTGAAGACAAGGCATTGCTTGATGGGGGTAGCAGTGTTAGAGACCTTGAACCTACATAGTGGAGCAAGTAAGTTTACCTAAGGATAAAGGGCCCACAAGTTTTAAGTGTATGCAAGGTGTCCAAAAGGTAATTTCAGTAATGTGAAAATGGGATATGAAGGAAACTAAGCTATCTAGTTATCACAACAGGCTTATGACCTGGGGCAATGGGAGAAGGGGATTCAATGTGTTTCATTCTAGTCTGTAACTTGAACAGAACTTTTGTGCTTCTGGGGGGAGAGCATTGACACTAGGGAGGAAGACTGATAGACCCATTATGAAAGTATATAGAAGGAAAGGGAAAAAAGGGGATGAAGGAACAGAAGGGATAAATTGGCCCAAGAAACAAGGCCTGCTTGTGTATGAAAGAAAGGAACGTGTAGCAGCAACTGAGAGGGAATTAGAAGAGAGAGAAGAGGGGCATAACAGACTAGACATCTGGCAGAAAAAGGTTGGAGGGAAGGATACGGGAATCATGCAGCAAGAGAGAGAAGGGTATATTGGAGAGGTGAGTAACTGATTTAAGAGGAGGAATCATTTTGGGAGGCTAAGCTAAGTGAAGAACGTGCCTTCCTCAAGAAACGGTGTTGCATAGTCTATAATTTTTAATTTCCATTTTTGCAAGGAGCTGTGCTCTAACCATTATTCTATTTTCATCACTCTTTAACGAGATTGATACTGTAACAGGGATTTATTCGATCTGATTTAGTTTATCCTATGTTATACATCCAAATTTCCTATTCATTTTGGTTGGGTCCTATTAAGGACCCTTTTAGAGAAATCCTTATTTTCCATATCCATTTTTTTCTCTATTCCTTTTTAACTCAATAATACATAGAACTCCATTTGAGTTTCCTTTTCCTTGCTATTGTTCTGTCAAGAGTGTATTAGACATGCATTGAAAAATCAGAACAAATGGTGAATCACTGACCTCTGCACAAATGCAAGAAGCGACTGGTGCCATATAACTGGCATTATCCTAGTTTCATTGAGAAATCTCATAAAATGATCAACAACCGCATCAACCACACGATATGGCAAAGCATATTTTTTCTCCAGAAGAAGCTTGATGAAATAGCTGCAATCATTATAAAGTTAGTATCTATCAAATATTGAACTGTATTTTTATAAATGATGCTTTATAAAATAAATGGCTACAATATTAAATACCATACCTTGTGGTTCCACAATATTCCATTCCAGAAAGCTTCAATAGTGCAACACTGCATACACATCCAGAAGTTAGGGTGCATAATAAGACATTATTGAATATGACTCAAATAATTAAAACTTTTATTTTCAATCACTGCATAAACAACAGTGCAATAAGTATCCACCTCTGACAGTAGCATTTTAACTTGAACAACAAAAATGCAAACCAAAAGACTAGACATTATATTAATACATATTAAGAGATAATTTATATAAATAAAAAAAACTATTAATTCTTATTTAAAATAATTCAAGAAAACTCTTTCTTTTCGGTAGTAGTGCCATGGGAAAAAGCTTGGAAATCTAACCAAGCACATGAATGTAAGCAATTTTACTGGGTAATAATAATAACGAGACATGCTCAAATAGATAAGCACTGCTGGTTCCTATTATACTTTCCCCAACATACTACAGGTTATGTTCCCTAAATTGAGGTCTGAAAAACACTCTCAACCACAGTGACACATCTCAGCACACTTTGCATAACAAAGCCAAATACTTGCTAAGCATATAATTTTTAATATTTCTAGTTATGATTGACCAAGTTAACATACCTTGAATGAAGTGGAGGAATAGAAACCTTTTCTATAATGCTTCCAATAATGACTGCTTCCCTGAGAGTGCATGTGCGTGACTGTACATGAAGAACAATGTCAAACCCCACAACAAAAATGGAACATAGATTGCCTACATATCAAACTCAAAATTTACAGACTCTGTATTCTACAAAATCTCTGAATCACTTTCTATTTGTCAAGTTCCTATGACAGTACCAACAAATCATTCATAATCCATCATAAACATAAAGTAATAATTTCTCAAGTTCATTTACTATTTCACACCTATATTATTCCATATTTTTCATTTTCAAAACAGGGTTTTATAGTTAATTTTTTCCCTCTGCATTCCAACAATTATGAGAACGAACATCACACAAATGTCACCTTAAAGGATATGTGATGCATCAATTCCTCAACACCAAAATGCGTGAATTTACAGTTGGAACTCATCTTACATTGCATATGCTTTTAATTCCAGAAATCAGTCTTAGTTCAACATGTTCCAAAAGCTTTAACATGTAATTAGATCAAGAGGCAAAAGTCTATACCATAACTTAAGAATGAATAGAATTCCACAGACAGAACATACAAAAATATCACCCAATGATTAAATTTGAGACATCAAAAGGTAGAACCAACTTAGACACAGTTGAATACCTCACACAGTGGAAACAGTATTCCCTTAAAGAATGCAGCAGGTTTGTACAATGCCTTTTTCAGAGTTTGGTATAAAGCAAAATGCAGCCGTTTGTTCTTCCTTATATCTTCTCTCACTCTTGGAAGCAACACAAGCTTGTAGAAGCGTTCTGCCTTTTTTGCACCAAAATTAGAAGCAAAAATTCTAGTGGCTTGATAAAGAGCATTTGGAGACCAATTTTCAGGTTCAGTTATATACAGGACTTCCTCCCAAAGTTGCATAGAGGGGATGTGTTTGAATGCCTTTGGTATTTTGCCTATTGTATATTTGCTAAGATGAGTCCCAACCCTGCCAGTAAGAAAGATGGAAAAAACAGTGGGGTTGAGGCATGAGATGAAAACTACATTTAACCAGCTACATAACTAAACAGAAACGAATTTATTAATCTAATTTACATATTTATTATAGAATTGAATTGGATGTATACATACCCCTTGTATATGTCAATTATGGATTTATCTAATTTTGGTACAGGTCGGTTTTCTGCACAAAATTATCAGAAATAATATGAGTGAGATAAAATCTTCAAGCATGCTGAAGCTGAACAACATGCTAAAAACACTCAATCCCTAACAAACAGAAAAAATGAGGAAAACAAAATGGAGTCTAGCATTGCCTGAAGCAACAGAAGCATCCTTTTCTTTTATTCTTTGGACAATGAGATCGGCAAGTGTTTTCTGCTGACCAGGCTCCTTTGATAAGAATGCCTCCATTAGTCTCTCATCTTCCTCGTTAATTTCCTCCTGAATTTTCATAGAATGAAAAAAGAATAACAAAAATCACTGTCACAGTAATAGTCAAAAAGGATTTGAGGGAAGATAAAATAAAACTCACTCAATCCAAAATTTTCCACTAATGTAAACAAGCATTGCTAATGATTTTCACTCTCAAATTCTCAGTCTAATTCATCTATTCTCATTTTTAATTTTCATAATCACAAAATTATCACTTATTTTTCCTCCTGTAGATCTTTTCAATCAAGAAACAAAGCAAAAATAAAATTGACACTTTTCATAGTTATTATTTTTAAAAACAGGTAACAAGTTCACCCAAACAAGCTCTAAAAGTACCAAATTCACATTTGTGAAGAGCCAAAAATAAAAATATCCTGGTCACTACTCCTGATTTAGTGCCTAAGTGCCTAACTTTTTTAAATTCTCATTCAGCACCTAGGTTTGCTCTTTAGTGCAGTAAAGAAAGATAAACTGAAAAATGAAAACCCTTTCACAAAGCTTCTGTTAAACAAGGGTATATATATACAGAAGAGCTAGAGACTAGCCCTCTTCAGATAAAATTCTTAATTCTTAATAAGCACCTACAATAAGCACTTACAAAAACAAAAATAAGCACCTATAATATGAATTAAACATCTCTCACATAATTTAATATTAGCTTATATATAAACAGACTAAATTATAAAAGCTTATGCCTAACTTAATACACATCTAAGAATCTGGATAAAAATTCTCTTTTAGGAAAAATCAAAATAAGAATTTTCATAAGCTAAAACTAGTTTATTTATATACTAAAAACAAGTTTTGGGAGAAGCTAACAAGAGAGAAATTCCACAAATTAGCCTATGTATAAGATAATTTTAGCATATATTTCATTTTCTTTTAAGTTTTCTCTTTTAAAAAGTGCTTGGGGGAGAAATTTATCCACTTCCAAAGTGTTTGTGTTTGTCGATGCCTTGAACGACGTCGTATACAGTTTTTTGCAAGTTCAACCAAACAAAAGCTGATGAAAAGGAAACAGCAAAGGTGCGAGCGTAACTCACTTCATCAAAACCGGCGAATTGGCTCTGCGTTTCGGAGAACCCGGCGAAGTCGTCAATTTCATCGGCGTCTTCATGGACGCTGGGAACCTCTTCGAAGAAAGCCGCGGCGCCGTCGTGCGCCTCCTCCTCCTTCTGCTGAAGCAGAGCCTCCTTCATGATCTTGGAGCTGAGCGTGGGAGCGATGAACTTCTCCTCCTGCTGGTGCTTCTTCTGAGCCTTCGAACGCTTCTTCGCCTTCGCAGGGTCGGCGCCGTGCGGATCGAACGGTTCAGGGTTGTGAATCCGCTCCTTACGCTTCGCCATTCTGCGCTGCGATTGCGAAGAGAACGAGGGCGAGTGAAGATCGGAGAGTGGCGGCGAACTCTGCTTCCGGCTGCGGTGGCTCCGCCGTTTGCGATGGGAGGGGGCGAGGGTTTTGTGTTTTGTTTCTCAGGCTGCAATAAGGATAAACCCTACGTTGTAAATATGGAGTACTCGTTTTGATAGAGGAATATAGAGTACTCTTAATTCTTAATTCCTAATTCCTAATGGCTGCATTGATTTTTTTCTTAAAATGTATATTTTGACAATAATTAATAAATTTATTAATGTGTTATTATTAATTTATTTGTATTTTAAAATTGTCCATAACGTATTTTTTTAGCTAAAATATATATTAACAACTAATATAAATATATTTATATAATTTTTTAATGAAATAATTAATTATTTTCATTATGATTTTTATTTATTAATGTGTTATTATATAATTAATATAATTTTAATTTTATTGTGAAATTATGTAAATATTCAAGATTTATGAGAGTTTTTTTATAGAAAAATTTGAAAGGAAGAAATTATTCTTTTTATATTATTTATTTATTTTATATAAATTTTAATTTTAGTTTTTAATTTTAATATTAAATATTTTTTCATAAATTTTTATAATTTGTAATCTTTGAATTTTTTTATTAACATTTTTAGTCACTAGTATTAAGATATCTATTTATAAAAATAAAATAGAGATGAAGACTAAATAAAATTTGTTTAGAGACTAAAAGTGAAAATTAAAAATTAAAACTTAATTTTATAAGCAATAATAATTATTAAATATTTATTTATTGATTATAATATTAAGTAGATAATATATAATTAATATTTAAATTAAATTATATTTTTATTGTAACGTAGTTAGTAAACTGGAATGGGGCGTTTCCAGATTGGAACGGACCGTTCCAAACTACTAAAACAAGGGTGATTTAGTAGCTTAGAACGGGCCGTTTCCAAACTGGAACGGACCGTTCCAAACTACTAAATAGACCTATGAATCTTAGACTGGAACGGGTCGTTCCAAAGTGGTCATTGTGAGTTAGATTCAACTCCAGAACGGGTCGTTCCGGTTTTAGAACGGGTCGTTCTAGACGTGCCAGAACGGGCCGTTCCGATTTCAGAACGGGTCGTTCTGCATGTGAATTTTACACATGATGAAGAAGCCTAGAATGGGCCGTTCCGGATTTGGAACGGGCTGTTCTGGCCAGTTTAGATTTCTATAAATAGGACTTGTGGGCAGTTGAGGAGAAATGGAGGTTTTAGAGAGAAGTTCTAGAGAGAAGGGCTCTAGATTAGGAAGCTTTGGGTGGATTGAAGTTTCGGGTTGAGCTTCGAAAAGGGAATTCCACTTCTTCTCAGTTGATGGAGGACCATCCTTGAAGACACATGTGGGCCCCATCACTAGGTCCATGGCTAGGAGAGTTGAAGAGGAGGAGGGTGTTCACACACCAAGAGACACTCTCCTCATGATCATAGAGTATTAGTTCTCTCCTAAGCCTCATTAGTATAGGGTTTATTTTATTTTCCAATTTTACCCTTGTATTTTGGGGTGTTTAGGACTTAGAATTTATTTTCTCTTGTATTTCCCATTTTACCCTTGTATTATGGGGTGCTTTAGATGATTAGGGTTTTAATTTTGGGCTAGGGTGTTACATTAGAAGGGTGACGCATTTTTGGTGCTCATTGGATCTATTTTTTGGTGTTAGAAAGGCTTAGGCCCAAGTGGAAGGCAAAGGTTGCATGGTCTTATCATGCACCTAGATACAGCCAATCTAAACCCATAGATTCCATCCTTGGCCACCAAGTTACATCTAAGGTTCATTTGGCATTTCATTTGGAGTGCATTTGCCTTGTGAATTTCGGCCATGCACACTCCAAATGAAACCCTAGATGCCTCCCCTCCTATAAATACCCAACACCCCACACCTTGTAAATACTTTGGATTATATAGATTTTGAGTGAGCATTTCATGCCTCAACATCTCTTCCTTAGTTACTAGGTTAACTTCGGCTAACCCCCTTCATTCTCCATCCTTGGAGAGTGAAACCCTAGAGTGGCCTCCACCTACACTTGGAGTGAGCCAACCTTGAGCAACCATACACCTAAACCCAAACACTTCCGCCAATCATCACTATCTCACGCCTACTTCCTTTTTTTTCACCATAAACTTCCTTTTGTCCAACCTTTGGTGAGCCTAGATCAAGGGCAAGGTGTCTCCCTTCAACTCACAATCATCAACCATGGAAGGAAGGACACCAGTATCTAGAGCCAAGGATCATCAAGGGTAAAACGTTGTCTTCCTTGTCTTCTTGTCTTTTCTTTCTATTCGGTCTTGTCTTCTTTTTTTTGCCCTTCTTTGTATGGCCGAATGCTTTGGGTTCATATTCTTGTCTCTTGTGAACCTTCCTTGAACATGATAGGTTTCCATTATTAGGTGTGCCATGCTTTTTATTTTTAGGCTTGAGTCTCATAAAAACATGCTATGAATATGCTTTTGATTTTTAAATCCACCTAAGTTTTGTCATATTTTATGTTTCCTATATTTTGTCTACAAAAAAAATTCCATGTATGTGCCAAACACCTTTGCATGAAATACATGAACAAAAATACCATGATGCATCATTTTAAGTGGGCGTGAGATATAGGAGCCATCTAGGAGTCATTCATGCATGCTACTTAGTCCTAGCATGTTCTATGTGATTTTTGATATCCATGTGTAAATGCTTCCTTGCACATGCATTGCCGCCCCACTTCCTTGCATTTTCACTTGATTTAGTCTAATTTTGGTTGTATGAAAAACCCTAAAAGAATCTAAGAGGTGTGCTGAAAAATTTGTGCAAACAACTTGTACTAGATAGTACAAATCAATTTCCACTCAAAAGATACCCAAAACACCTCTAAGAAACCGCCACTTGTCCTCCTCTCCTTGTCTTAAAATTTGACCTAATTTTTCTCTCCACCCACAAGTGAAAAACCTAAGCAGCAAATGGGCTGAACTTTTAAAAAAAAATTTGGACCCAAAGTATAAAGAAAAGTGACGTGAAAAGAAAGGAAAAGAAAGAACAAAAAAAAAATTTGACCAAAAAGGACTTGTTGCTAGACTTGTGGACTTGGACCAATACCTATGCTTTTTGGAGTTGGACTTAAGACCATTATTGACCTATTTTGAGACCTTAAAGGTGGCTGGACCAAATTCATAAAAGACTTAAATCAAGTGGGCTTAAACACTAATCCATTCTAGTGCCTTTCTAGGAATACTCTTTTGTGTGCTTCCTATTTTTGATTGAGTCTTAATTTTAGTTTGTCTTTTCTTTGGCCTCTTTTGTTTTGTCTCAATCAATTCTCTCTGAGTTTAGCCTTTCCTAATTGTGCTTTTCAGTTTTATTTCTTGGACTCTTGCTCTTTGGGTTGGTTTCATTTTGTTTGTAGGTGAAGAACCTATCTAGCAAACTAGCACACCTTTGGTGGATTTGAGTGGAGGAGTGAACCGAATCCAAACCTAGCCTTTGGAGGGATTTACACCACACCAAAAGGAGTGTTTAAACACTTAGAGAGGACTAACAAGTTTGTTCTTTGTGAAGGAACCCAAGTGGAGGAGTTTGAAGACCTAAAATTTTTTATTTTTTTCATATTTTGCTTGAATTGTTCTTTTCAGCCTCTTTGTGTTTTTTGGCCTTGGTTTCATTCATTTTGGTTTGTAATTAGTCGATCTAGTGTTGGTTGCTCCCTATAGGATGGCCCCAACAGAGTTGGTTGAATTAAAATGTTAGGTGGAAGAGTTGAAGAGAAAGATGGAGTACTTCTCCTATGTTGGTGTTGCCTAATCCTAGTGAGTCATTTGAGGTGTGTTGTGATGTTTCTCACCAAGAGTTGGGGTGTGTGTTGATGTAGAATAGGAGAGTAGTTGCATATGCTTTAAGGCAATTGAAGAATCATGATAGGAATTACCCTACTCATGACTTAGAGTTGGTAGTAGTTATTTTGCCTTAAAGGTATGGATGCACTATTTTATAGTGCAGGGTTCAACGTCTTTGGTGATTGCAAGAGTCTGAAGTATTTGCTTGATCAAAAGGAGTTGAATATGAGACAGAGACGGTGGATGGAATATTTTAAAAGACTATGAATTTCAGTTGATGTATCACCCTAGGAAGGTCAATGTAGTGGCAGACGCTTTGAGTAGGAAGTCCATCCACATGTCTAGTTTGATGGTAAAGGAGTTGGAGCTGGTTGAGAAATTCAGAGATTTGAATCTGTATGTGGAGTTGGCTCAAGACCACATTAGCTGGGGCATGACTACCATTGCTAGTAAGTTCTTGTAGCAAGTTGGATTGAAGTAGTTGTAAGATTCGGAAGTTGTGAAGGTTCTTAATTTGTTGGATATAAAGAAAGAAATTAGCTTTGAGATGAGTGAAGATGGGATTTGAGGTTTAAGGGTAGAATTTGCCTACCTCAAGATTATGAGTGTAGAGAGACATTGTTGAATATATGGTGGCCTATCTGACCTGTCAGAAGGCTAAAGTTGGGCACCAGAAGTCTTGTGGTTTAATTGTAGATGATGGAGATCCTATAGTGGAAGTTGGATAGTATCACTATGGACATCATTGATGGATTGCCTAAGTCGACTAGGAATAGTGATGCTATTTGAGTTGTGGTTGACAGATTGACCAAGTGTACACATTTCTTGCTTGTCAATATCAAGTGATCCTTGGAGAAGTTGACACAGCTGTATGTGAAGGAAAACCAACAATCTTCGTCGGCTTGCCGACTCTCTAGCCGCTCTACAACCTTCGCCTTCTCTACCAAGGCTGGAAACTCCATGATGGCCATAGGCACCACCACTCTCCTCAAATCATACTTCAAGCCTTCAGCAACTTCCTACACTTCCAAGCCTTAGAGGTGGCTTGGGTGTAGAAGTGTGCCAAGTGCTCGAATCTCATGGCATACTCGATCACCGACATTCCCCCCTGCTGTAATCTCATAAACTCTACCTCCCAAGCATGCCTAACAGTAACACTCTCTAGGAAGTACTTCTCAAGGAAGGCCCTCTTGAAGCACACCCAGTCCACAACCACTACACGGTCAATTCAACATCTGACCAGTACCTCTCCAACAATACTCTGCCTCCCTTGTCAACATATACACTGCATAGTTGAGCTTCCACTCATCTGAACAACCTAGAACTGAGAATATCTTTTCCAACTCCCAAATCCAGTGGTCAGCTACCTCTGGATCTGCATTACCTCTAAACTGAGGAGGACTACACTTCCTGAACTCAGCCAAATCCCAAGTCTCCTGTGACCCAACTGGTTTTGCTGCACTAGTCACAGCTCTCTCAACATCCATCCTAGCAAAGTAGGCACTCTACTATTGCATAGCCATAGCCATCATCTCCATGACATGGGCTATCTGCTCATGTTCTAAGCATCTTCTACAAAATGAACAACTTATTCAACACACTACATCTCAACTACTCAACAAAAATCAACACAACATCCAACACAACACAGAGTTCAACACAACAAAAGCCTAAATGGACCACCCCCATGGAATGTCCACTAGACTCGAACTGCTCTAATACCATAAAAGTGTAACGACCCGCCGTGGCCGTCACACTATAGAACAACACTACACACTACTCGAATATATACTAAAATAGTATAATAAATATTTACAACACAATTTGCTAATCAAGCAACAAATAACAACTAGTTATATACAAGAAAATATGCTACTATAAGGTAGCTTACAAACAAATATCCATCTTCAGGCACCTCTTATGGTCTCTAGCAGCTACCTCCCAGGCTATCCCTACCCTGCTCCCATACCATGTATGATCATCGCAGTCCAAACCACATGGAGACATGCAATGGTAAGCTAGAGACAATAAACAACTCATAATAATTTAATATGCAACATAACAACTATACATCTAAACATCATTTCAACTTGATTCCACATATCAACACTTCAACGTAACTACTGTACAAACCATTGGAATAATCACTATATTCATCATAACAACAACCAACACATGTATTAAAAGCAACTTACAACATAGGTAATCTAGCGACGCTAGCATCATCATTAACTTGTATACAAATAAGCAACTTACAACATAACAACACTATCATCATCCTCAACAAGGTCAACATACAACACAATTACAACTTAATAACACAACAACGTATGTACTACTCATATCAACAACAAATTAACTCATTAACAACTTATACATCGTCACGCATTTTGACTCGGAGATCTCCTACAACATGGTAAGTAGTCTAAGTGGCCAGGTCCTACCAAACCGACAACACAGCAAATTTGGATATCAATCCACAACACGATAATGGTTTCTCAGACTTTGCCACTTAAACAAGGAAGTATAGTACTCGGTTAGGAACTAAGTTTCCAACTTCGTACTTTACTCAAATTGGCCACTTGTAATCGATATAGGTCAACCTAACCCCTATACCGTGGTCGCTTTATAATCGGTATAGCTCGACCTTGCCCTTATACCATGGTCGCTTTGTAATCGGTATAGCTTGACCTTGCCCCTATACCGTGGTTGCTTTGTAATCGGTATGGCTCGACCTTGCCCTTATACCGTGGTTGCTTTGTAATCGGTATAGCTCGACCTTGCCCCTATACCGTGGTCGCTTTATACACGTGTGCCTCGACCTTGCCCACACACGGGATCAACTAAGTCCTAGAGGAGAACAACACAAAGTCCACTCCAAGGGACAACTTCCCAAGGAGGTTTTCAACAAATTGTGATGAGATTCCACTTGGAGATCTCATGAATTCTTCAATGCTTCCGGGATTCCTTAGAAGTTCTTCAAGGAAGAAGACTCCAAGAAGCACAATGTGACCTAAGCTTGCGTGTAGCTAAGTCCGGAGAAGAAGAGAATTCCATAGCTCTACAAGGAGAGGAGCTCAAGGAGGGTAGAGTTTTAGGGATTGGTGGCTTTCGGAGGGGAGTGTTCTAACGAGAGAAAACTCATCAATTAATCCAAAAGTGATTACAAGTTCGGTCATAAGGATTTTATAGGGAAAATTTAGGTCAAAGTAACCATGGGTTGGCCTAAGGTTAAGTGAAACCAAGGTAGAGTTCACTTAACCTTAGGCGCCCAAAATTTGAATTCAAAATTCAAATATTTGGAGCCTAAACCCGGATCACCACATGTGTAAGTCATTTGGAATGTCATTAGGCTTCCATTTGAGTTGCATTTCGGATCACACCATGTGCATGTGTTGCACATGGCCGAAATGCACACCAAATGTGAATCTAATTACATTCTAATGCAACTACACATGCAACCTAAATAACCCTAAATTCAAATGACCTTCAAATGAAATCCTAAGCTAGATGGCCGTGAATACAAGGCCTAAAAAATACAAGGCTCTAAGGCCCATCCCTACACTACTCCTAATCTACTTGGGCTTGGGTCAAAGCCCAACAAAACAAAGTGATGGGCTTTCCTTGAGCTTGGGCCCACTCTTCTTGTATCCTCCTTGCCATAGCCCTAGTAGTTGGGCCCTTGGCCTATGGGCTTCCTCCATCAAATTGGGCTCTCAAAGCACCACAACTATCTCAATTCACACAATGGGATGAGAAACTTCGAAAACATCTCCCCTAGTCCTAGTGATCAACAACTTATCATCACAGCTTTATAGTAATAGGCATCTTAACAACTTTACAGCAATAGACATCTTAACAACTTTACAGCAATAGACATCTTAACAACTTTACAGCAATAGGCATCTTACAACAATAGACAACTTACAAAAATACAAAAATAGACATTATATACCAGCTTGACAACTTCTTATTCATTTATACAACTATGCAACTTTAATAATTTTAACAACATGCAAACAACTTAATTAAACAACTATAATCATTATAATATCAAGTTAATGCAACTTAACAACTTTATAAACAACTTCAACAATATACAACATATTTAAAATTCATCTATCATGTCAACTTACACAATATAAACAACATAAATCAACTTAAGCACCCAACAACTTAACTATTTCAACAAAAGAACACCATGCATAAAGCTTCACCCAGATAATCGATTATTTACAGAATAATCGATTATTCCAGTGACTTCTCAGATTCCAACCTTCAGATAATCGATTATTACCCAAGATAATCGATTATTACAGTGACTCTTGAGTTCCTTCTTACCAGATAATCGATTATTGCCCAAATAATCAATTATTTTAGAGACTCTTGAAATTCTTCATGTTCCAGATAATCGATTATTACCCAAATAATCGATTATTTCCATGGGTTTACTTAAGATAATCGATTATTCCAGAGAAGTTTTGCTTCTCAGAAATTTCAACATTTGTCAAATTTTACCAAGTCTTATTTGTCACTAATACTTTCTTCCAACCATCTCTAATTTCCAACTGCTTGTGTCTACGCCCGCTTCTAATTCTATTGTTGCCTATGAGATGTGTGTTGGTTATCCCTTGGAGATGTGTGATAGGAAGTATAAGGTGAAATTGATCTGTTTGCCTTTAGTGGATATTGACATAATCTTAAGGATGGATTGGTTATCTGCCAATCACATTCTTATAGATTGTGCCAATATGGAGTTGGTTTTTCCCTTAGGGGGAGGATGAATTGTTGATTTCAACTAGCCAAGCTTAAGTGATGTTGAGAGATGGAGCAGAGTGTTGTATTCTGTTTGTTGCTATAAGTGTGGAAACTGAAAAGGTGATCAATAGGTAGGAGTTGTGAAGGAATTTCTGAAGGTGTTTTTGGATGAGGTGTCTGGGTTACCTCCTACTAGGGAGATTGAGATTAGCATTGATCTGGTCCCTGGTGTAGGGCCAGTGTTGGTTGCTCCCTATAGGATGGCCCCAACAGAGTTGGTTGAATTAAAATGTTAGGTGGAAGAGTTGAAGAGAAAGATGGAGTACTTCTCCTATGTTGGTGTTGCCTAATCCTAGTGAGTCATTTGAGGTGTGTTGTGATGTTTCTCACCAAGAGTTGGGGTGTGTGTTGATGTAGAATAGGAGAGTAGTTGCATATGCTTTAAGGCAATTGAAGAATCATGATAGGAATTACCCTACTCATGACTTAGAGTTGGTAGTAGTTATTTTGCCTTAAAGGTATGGATGCACTATTTTATAGTGCAGGGAAGATGTCTATTGCTGTAAAGTTGTTAAGATGCCTATTACTATAAAGCTGTGATGATAAGTTGTTGATCACTAGGACTAGGGGAGATGTTTTCGAAGTTTCTCATCCCATTGTGTGAATTGAGATAGTTGTGGTGCTTTGAGAGCCCAATTTGATGGAGGAAGCCCATAGGCCAAGGGCCCAACTACTAGGGCTATGGCAAGGAGGATACAAGAAGAGTGGGCCCAAGCTCAAGGAAAGCCCATCACTTTGTTTTGTTGGGCTTTGACCCAAGCCCAAGTAGATTAGGAGTAGTGTAGGGATGGGCCTTAGAGCCTTGTATTTTTTAGGCCTTGTATTCACGGCCATCTAGCTTAGGATTTCATTTGAAGGTCATTTGAATTTAGGGTTATTTAGGTTGCATGTGTAGTTGCATTAGAATGTAATTAGATTCACATTTGGTGTGCATTTCGGCCATGTGCAACACATGCACATGGTGTGATCCGAAATGCAACTCAAATGGAAGCCTAATGACATTCCAAATGACTTACACATGTGGTGATCCGGGTTTAGGCTCCAAATATTTGAATTTTGAATTCAAATTTTGGGCGCCTAAGGTTAAGTGAACTCTACCTTGGTTTCACTTAACCTTAGGCCAACCCATGGTTACTTTGACCTAAATTTTCCCTATAAAATCCTTATGACCGAACTTGTAATCACTTTTGGATTAATTGATGAGTTTTCTCTCGTTAGAACACTCCCCTCCGAAAGCCACCAATCCCTAAAACTCTACCCTCCTTGAGCTCCTCTCCTTGTAGAGCTATGGAATTCTCTTCTTCTCCGGACTTGGCTACATGCAAGCTTAGGTCACATTGTGCTTCTTGGAGTCTTCTTCCTTGAAGAACTTCTAAGGAATCCCGGAAGCATTGAAGAATTCATGAGATCTCCAAGTGGAATCTCATCACAATTTGTTGAAAACCTCCTTGGGAAGTTGTCCCTTGGAGTGGACTTTGTGTTGTTCTCCTCTAGGACTTAGTTGATCCCGTGTGTGGGCAAGGTCGAGGCACACGTGTATAAAGCGACCACGGTATAGGGGCAAGGTCGAGCTATACCGATTACAAAGCAACCACGGTATAAGGGCAAGGTCGAGCCATACCGATTACAAAGCAACCACGGTATAGGGGCAAGGTCAAGCTATACCGAT